CAGGAGTCCCTTCAATTAACAACCATCCCCTCAGCATGAACTTGTAGAATGCCTAAGGCCTTTTGGATTATGAAGATTTTAAAACAAAAGATTGGGATTCATCTTTCTGTGGGAGAGACCAGGTCACACAGGCTGCTTTGAGGGTGTTAAACATGGCCATTGTGGTAGGTACTCTCTGGTACCATTACTGAGTTCATTTTAAGGCTGGAGATGGAACCCAGGGCTTCACGCATACTAACTGTGTTTTCCAGACTGAACTGGTGCTATTAGTGTAATAATGGTTTCTGTTATCAGTATGCCAGTGTCTTTCCTCTCTGAAGAGATGAGGTTATCATCTACGCGTTTTCATTTACTGAATACTGCAACGTTCTAGGACTTAGTCTAAGTGGTTTATGGCCCAATTACTTCTTCATAACATCATGAAATGGGTTCCATTCTCAACCCCATTTTACACTTGAGGCCTGGTTGGTAACTTGCACAACCAGGTCACACAGCCAGTAGGTAGGTGGTAGAGCTGAGATTAGACCTCCCCAGGCCTCCTGGCCCCAGACCCTCTTCAATATGCTTAGAAGCTAAAACCTTAGCCAGCAGGAGTCAGGACCAAGCCAGAGCAGATCGCTATTCACTCCATTTTCCCGTCCAAATGACCTTTCCATTCAACTAATTGAAAAGAATGCTAATAATGGTGCTAATTTTCCCTCCAGTGATTGACAAGGTAAGGAGGACAATTTAGAATCCAAAGCTGAGGGAAAGAACAGAGGTCATTTAAACCACCCTCCTCCTAATTTCCAAGACAGGAAAGCTGAGGGACTCTTATCAAACTCACAAGCTAGTTAGGGGAAAGAAGCCCTCCACACCCCTTCCCGGCCTGGAGCACCTCTGTTGCCTGCTCCTGGTGGGGCCAGGGATTCTGAGCTGGACAAGAGGGCAGGACACTCGCGTCCTCGCTATCTTTCCTGAGCAAAGGCTGCTGTGGAAGCCGGTGCCAGCCCCACAGATGTGGTCTCTTCCTCTTAGGGCTTGTTTGTTGCCGAATCAAGAACTCCCCCACCCGAAAGTCCTTATCAGGAGCCAGGATGGCTCTTAATCTGCAGCTGCCAGGGCCTCAGCTACACTTGGAGAGGTGGCATTATCGTCCCCAAACAGCTGAGTGTGCCCAGGTCTCCAGGCTGGCTCCGTGTCCCCCATGGGGAACCCAAAAACAGAAGGGACCGACCAGCGCCTTGTTCCTGCCCAAAGGGGTACTTTCTGCTCCTACTCACGCCAGCCAGATCTAACATAAACAGCATCTTGCTTGGTCACAGAACTCCTTCATGTAAACTGAGGAACTATTAGTCTACTGAGGACCAAGAGCAACCCTAAGATGAATCTGCCATTCTGTAATGTACCTGGCTTGAAGACACAGAGGGAGGTGAGGTGTCTGCCTCACTTCAGGAAAGGTAAGCTTTCCCGAATTCCAGGCACCCACTAAACAATGAAATGGCCTGCACGAATGGGGCCTTTCAGGAAACAGGAGGGTAAGAGCTGCTGACATTGACCTGAACACCCAAAAAGCATAGCACACTAAAGTGGGCAAAAATTTCTAGATGCCAGCCCTGTCTTTAAATCCAAAAAAGTGGATCCTTTTACGAGTGCCTAGATTATTTGGATTAGACACTAGAAATGACTATTCCTGTGAATAACAGTCCCGATACAAGCAGGTCCCAATATCCACTTCCGTGTACGATACAGGTGCTCTGCCCTCCCCTGGCCCTGCTGCCCCTACTGTCCTTGCCAGTACCAACACATCGCAGTCTCCCTGGTCTACTTCTGACCCAGCACATGTAGAACAGATTGCATGTTCGCTGTTGAAGGTCACAGAGGTGAGAAATGAAAGGAGGGTGCCAATGGTCAGAAATCAATATGCTTAGTTTAAACACAGCCCACCTTTGGCCAGGAGAAAAAAAATCAACCGAAGTTTAAAAAAAAAAACATGCCTGTGACCTCAGTGGGAACTGTGCACCTGTGACTTTGGAAAGAATCCAGTCAGGGACGAGACTGTTCCTATTCCTTGCCATAGATCCTACCCACACAGCCAGAGAGTTATACTTTGGTAACAAACATTTGGCTCTCACACCAGTGTGTGCTGTCAGAGCCGCTCTTCAGCTAACTTGCGGGGCTGGCATTCAGCCGCACACTGGGCCCCAGTGCATGGACCCTGAAGCCCAACTGCTTTAACGGTGAGAACGCCATGTGAATAAACGCTTGCCCCAATGTGAGAAGGGCTCATTAGCCTCTTCTACCACTTCCGATCTGTGACAGGCTGAATCTTAATCATTTTCAGTATTTCCAGTGACCAGCACTTACTAAAATAGCCATATGAAATTGGTTTCGAGACCACCTGCACACTCTTAAGTCCTCTGTATGCCCAAATCCCTTCTATGAGATGGTGTAGGATTTGCATATAATATACATGTATTTCCACATACTTTAAATCACCTCCAGACTATTACAATGCCCAATACAATGGAAACACTATGTAAACAGTTTAGACTTATTGTTTATAGAGAATGACAGGGAAAAATCCTTACATGTCCACCTCAGATGCAACCACTATAGGCCTGAAGACACCAACTGCCCCAGCAACCTAGGCTGGAGAAAGCGAGGGCTGTGGGAAGGTGGGTGGACCGGCCCCTCTGCACTCAGAGGTTCAGCAGCATGCTGGGTGGCAAATTTTGTGCTGTCGGTTGGACTTTTGGAATTCTTTTTCTGAGTAATTGCAAGCTGTAGTTGGCCGAGTCTATGGGCATGTGACTCCTGGACGCAGAGAGCCAGCTGTCCAGGTTTGCTGGATGATGAATCAGTGAGTGAGTGGATGGAACTACGGACAATGAAGCCGACGCAGGTGATGGAGACCTGGGCAGACGCAGGAAGTCAGACCAGAAGCCAGGCACTCATAGGATTCAAACTCCTGGGGAGGACCGGACACTTGGACACGGCCAGCCTCACACCTAGGTTTTCTGATCACACCATCTACACAGTAGGCTGCCTGAGTGCAGCTCAAGAAAAATACAGTGAAACACAGAGCAAGGACTTGGAGGAGACAGGGAAAGGGTGGAAATGTTACCTTCTCTACATCAGACTTCATCTGCTACATTTTTATTAAAGTAACAAAAAAAGTGTACATTTATCCATAAAGCTGTACAATCTCCCATATAAAAACACTATTATACAATTAGAACCTTTGTCTTTTCGGTCAGAATAGCTTACAAACATACTATTATTTATTTTTCCTTGAGAGACAGGCCTGCTCAACAGTCCAGCTCTGGGGGGTTTTGTTGCTTTTAAAGTGAACATCAGTAAGAGAGAAAAGACAAGCATGAGACCACGAGGCTGCTCCTAAAAAGGCAGGGACCTGTTTGCAGACAGACAGGCTGGAGCACAATGTGCAACAATTCACAGCTTTGTTTCAACCCACAGGCCAGAGAACAGCTCCTGGGACTGTGGGCCCAGAGTTAACTTTAAAGCAATAAAGACTGGAAGCGGGGTGGGGGGAGACTGCAGACAAAAACTGGGGGGTGGAAGGCTAGGAGTCAGGAAGGGAGAGTTTGGTAAATAGCACCTTTGAGTCAAAACTGAGTTGTCAGGAAATGCAGGCGATGGGACTGATGGGCAGGAGGGGTGGGGAACTCGGGTGTGGGAGAAGGGTCCTAAGGGGCAACAGCAGGAGGAAAGCCACGTCGCTCACTGAGAATCTGAAGGAAAGGCTCGCCTTCCCAGGAGAGTTTTCTACTCTTCTCCAGCCCAGGATAGTAAATATTGCACAAGTCTATGGACAGATTTGGATTTTCCTGAGGCACAGCAAGTCCTCCCACACGTGCTCTGAGCACCAGGGGAAAAAAAACAGTGCGGAGGTTTGGCTTTTTGTGTTGGCCCTGCAGAACTACCAAGTAGTCCTGCAGGGCCCAGGCACTCCCCTTCCTCCCAGGAGGAGCTGCACCTTCCTGCTCCAATCTCCACAGAGTGCAGGGGAGATGGGTCTCAGACCCACCAGATCACCAGGCGGTGCTGGGAGCCAGTTCTCCCATTGCAGTGATTGAGAACCCTTGCCTTAGAAGCTGGGGAGTTCCAAGACCCAACCAGAGGGGAGCGGAGAGAAAGGAGGGTTGTGCTTTTGCAAAGAAGGCAGTAATAGAAGACCTGGAGTTCCTTGTAGCTTTTGAGCCACCTCTCAAAGGAATAGTAGCAGCACCAGGACTCTCGCGTGGTTCCAAAAAGAAGCGTTTTGGCCAAAAAAACATCTCCAGTGGATACTCTTTGGATCCCAAAATTCCATTGCAAATCATCCCCAAATTATTCGCCACACATACACACAAAGCAGCACACAGTAAAGTAAAGGTTTTGTGCAGAGTTGTCTTCCATCCTAACTCCAAAGACCTCCAACCCCTACTTTCCTCCCTTCTCCCAAAAGTTTGATTCCTGGCTGGGAAGCAACCTCTACAGGCCCCCAAGGGTGGAATTAGAAACTGAGTCATGATTTCAAAAAAGGCTATGGACAGAAAGAATAAGGAGAGGCCTTTTCACTCACCTAAGATCTCATCAGGAAAATAAGAGAAGAGTAGGCGACACAGTACTATTAAAGTTCAGGCGTAAATGCCCCTGAGGAAGAGAGGAGCCAGGGGAGCTCCAGTCCTGGCTGGGAGTCTGAACTCCCCAACCCAGGGCAGATCCTGACCTCCCTCATTCACAGATGCTAACCTTGCCTGGGGTGCCAGCCAACCTTCTCTCTCTCACCCCAGCTACGCTACTCCCCTCCCACAGGCAGACACTGGCTCACAGACTCAAGCTCACAATAGTTCTCTCCAAAGGCACCTGGGGAGGCCACTTCCAAGCAGCTCCCTTGAAGGATTTTTTTTTCTTAAAAAAAAAAAACTTTTGTTTTTTTCTCTTTTCTT